GGGGGGGGCATTTATAAACTATATTGTTTGGTACCCAAAACTGTGAAAGATGGTTTCTGCTTTGTGTACTTTGCTTGTAGTTTGCCAAGGAATAAACCTGGTGGCTAGACTAAAATATCATAGCTTTCCAGTGTAGAATTTTAGGAGGCTCACAAGTGAAGCAATTTATTTTTTGCCTTCAAAAATGTACACTTTGGTTAAAGGGAAATTCCATCCCCCCCCATGTTTCTTCCCATGCATTTTGGCTGTGTACAGAAATGGTTAACGGCACTGGAAATGAACTGAGTACCTAAAATTTGGGATTTTGCTCTCACTTCAGTCCTAGTAACAATGGCAGTCAGGAGACCTAGTAGGTGACACACTCAAGTGGGGTAATGGGCCGACAGCAACAAACGCTTGAGACCCATCTCTACTCTATCCTAAATTTAAACCACTTCCTCACTAAGGGTGCCAAAACTGCTACCCACTCATGAAAGCTTATTGGTCATGGTCCTGCTATATCTGTGCTGGCAACTTATAAAAATGTTTTGTGCAGGTGGGTTTAGTACCGTAACAGGTCTTCATCTTCTGTTCTTAGGGTTTTTACTTTGACCGTGATGATGTGGCATTGGCAAAGTTTTCTAAGTTCTTCCGTGAGCAATCTGAGAAGAAACGAGAGCACGCTGAGGGATTCCTAAAGTTCCAGAACAAGCGTGGAGGACGTATTATGCTTCAAGATATTAAGGTAGTGTCTTCTAGATGGTTGGCTGGTGCCAGTTTGTAGAGTCACTAGGTCACAGATGGTGATGGACAACAATCCTTTTGGAAGTAGTAATTTGCAGGAATAAATGGTCTATGAGTGGGCCTGCACATGTAGGGGCAGAGGAATAAGCTGTAATATTTACCTCATTCCTTGTTCCAGCACAAGGGGGAAGAAACCTGTGTAAGCTCCAAACTTTTGTACCTTCCATAGTGCTATGGCCTCCTTACCTGCTCCCATCATAGCAGAAGGGGCATTAGGTCACATGCTCGCCCACAGTATCAGTGCAGGGTAGTTTATGTCACTCCTTTTTTGCAGAAAAGGAGAATTGGGAATAAGGAATAAAAGCTTCTGGAAAGCTAGGTGGGGGATTGTACCCTTCTCACTGACTCTCATAGGATGTCAGGTGCAATGGGAACTGGGGTCAAGCAATGCTCCTACCTGCAAAATTAATCTAACCTGTGTAAGGTGAAGGAAATCCAGAGAACTAAATGTGAGTTCAGAAATCCTAATGTTTCAACTTCTGATGTTGCCATCCCCTTTAGCCTCAATATTGGCTTTAGATGAATGATTAAAGGGGTTCTAAACCCTCCTGTTTTTGCCTATATCTACTGCTATCAAGCAGTAGATACAGCGTTTTTTTTTAAACTGCCTAATAACAGTGGTTTAAATGTACTTTTTTTTTTTTCTTTGCGCGCTCCTGCCTGAGAAAACAAAACTGTTTGGATTCTCGGCCGGGAGACGAGCAGAGACGTAAGGTAAGTCTATGGATGCGTGCACCCGCATGCAGACACGGCTGGATCGGAGGGACAGGGCAGTTCGCGCTGGATCGGAGAGCCGCCGCACCGCTGGAGGGAAATGTATCCTTTAATGCAGAGCCGTAGCTATCTCATTTGTGCCCCCCCAACAGACATGTTATGCCGCCCGACGCCACGCACGTATGGTGTCATGTGATGTCATGCACCCCACCTCCAGGATGTTGCTGGTGGCCAAAACCAAAATGGCATAACACTTTTTTTCCGTTTGCTTTTCATTTAGTCCAAAACAAATTTTTAGTCTTTGCATATGTCTAATATGAGTGTGGGGTGCTTTGTTTTTTATTTTTACTGTTGGGGGGCTTCAGGGAAATATCAGGGGTCTAAAAGAGATTGAGAACACAAGAGTCCTCTGCCCATACAGGCAGGGGAGAGCAGCGGGATGCGAGGAGAAGCTGGAGCCTGTGCCGCTCCTCTCCCTGCCGAGCTGTGTTGGCTTCCTGGTGCCCTGTGCTCGCCTTGTCTCCAGGGCAAGGGCCTGGCTGCAACCCCCCCTCCCCCCTCAGCTGCGCCTGATGTGAGTGCCTCACTTGCCCTATGTCTTCTGTATATTTGTGCATGGAGGGGGGGGTGGAGTTTGGCATGAAAAGCTAACATGGGGCAATGGAACCTGTTTTATAGCTACAATGTTATTTTATAATGTCAGCATAGCCACAGGATTGCTTAGGTATGCTTTAATATATAAATGAGTGTCATTTGAAAACATGTGCTGTTCTAGAAACCGGAGGCTGATGAGTGGAAGAATGGAACAAATGCTATGGAGTACGCCCTGAAACTGGAGAAAAGTGTAAATCAGGCGTTGCTGGACCTTCATAAGATTGCCACACAGCATGCTGACCCTCATGTAAGTTGGAATATTATCTTGCCTATGCCCCTTTGTTTCCAGGCCCAGTTGTGGCTAACCTAGTTAAAGCATCTACCCACAAATGTAAAAAAAAACAAAGGCTTTAGTGTAGGAATATATATATTTTTTTTTTTTTAAATATAATCCTGTGTGTGCTCCACTGGGGAGATTATTTTACAGCTGGAACAAAAGGAAGTTATCTTCAAAGCAAGAACCAGAATAAGTTCCCTCTTGGAAGATTTCCCTTCTATTCCTGTCTGACCACTCAACTTTTAATCTTGCTTAAAATGGTCACCAGGACAAACCAACAAGTCCCAACTCTCCCAAATGGGGGTACAGACTGCAATCAAACTTGACAGGTTTCAACCCTTCACCACTCGAAAAAAAAATGATTGGCTTGAGATGCTTTATCCTTGCATCACCAGATCACATTTTAAGTCTAGCTTCATACAGAGTCTACTTCATTTGGTTAGGGCATCTGTAATTTGACTAAAACGAGCAACATCTTATCGGCACACTTGTTCCCTGTACTGAAGCTAGAACATTAGAATGGCAGACGGAAAACTAGCATTTGCAGAGCTTGAGGTTGGCAAAGACTGCCTGCATGCTTCTCAAGGGGAAGGTTTCATTCAAGAAAGGTAAAGAATGACTGACTCTGCTTTCCTTTCGTGACAGATGCGTGACTTCCTGGAGTCTGAATACCTAGAGAAGGAGGTGAAACTGATCAAGCTGTTGGGAGATCACCTTACAAACCTGAGACGTGTGAAGGCATCTGAGAATGGAATGGGAGAATACCTCTTTGATAGGTTGACCTTAGGGGATGACCATCAATGAACTTTCTGATATTAATAATGGCCAGTGGATATTTCTCCACTTTGTGCAAGAGCTCTTGTGATAAAATAAAAGCCAAGGGATGAGGTTTGGAAGTGAATGACGGCTCGCTCTGTAATATAAATAAATCTTTATGTGCAGCAGCATCTTGTGTCATGTAAGTCAATGGGATGCTGATATGAATACATTTTAGTTGTGGCTATTGTACTGGCAGGTTAACTTCTAGAGCTTGAGAAGCTCAAGAACTACATTGTGTCATGCATACCTTTTTTGTAGGTCTCATCACACCAGCGTGCTGCGATAATATGCATGTTAACGCAATGCACATTGGTGTTCTGCAGTGCCATCCAGCACAGCAAAAATAATTGTGATTTAGCCATTACATTCAAATGAATCCTGTAGGTGTATGCATTGATGTCCAGATACAACTTTATTCCATTAGATGGTGCATTTCTGGAGTCAAAAACACACCCACTTAATCAGGGCTTAATGAGAGAAATTGTGTTTGTGGCCTACAATCCCTGCAGCTTGAAAAATTGTGATGGGAGTACTTCCGGCTTGTCAGCAGCCAAAACCAAACCAGCTTCTAACAGGTGTTTTGAACCTCTGAATTGCATTTGGCTACTCTATCTGAATGTCCCCTGCCCCTAATAGAATAAAGCTGTATCTGGATGATTTCATTGGCGTAGAGCTTCAATTCTACATCTACTGCATTCACTAAGTATATTACTACCAGTATGCTGCAATATGTTTAGTGTGGTGGGGGGAGGTTGTGTTACACTTTAAGCCTACATGTAAAGAAACGGAGGTGGTTCAATACTCTGTCTTGGGATATTTAAACAAACGGATTGTTCAAAGCAAACCATGGTAGAAAAAAAAGTATTTAAAGACTTGGTAAATGGTTGCGGACTTATTCTTTAGTGTAAGTACACAACCTTAAGCTTTTGGGGTGGGGGGGATTAGAATTCCTGTGTTTTTTTTTTTTTGTTTTTTTTTTATATATTTACTCTTCCTTGCTCTAAACATACGTGGTTGTTGGGTTCAGGCTTAAATGGTTTCTGTAGTCTAAATTGTCACTTTGGAGCACTAATTTGCAATACTTTTTGAAATGGCCCTCCATATGTATGTCAACTGGGGTTCCAAAGAAGCCCTAGGGCAGGGGCGCCCACTATTTTTTGTCTGGAGATCTACTTTTCAAATGACGAGCTCATTGAGATCTACCAATGAAAACCCCTGCATTCAGGGGCGGGAGGGGGAGTGGCGGTGCATTGAAGTCAATGGCTCCGCAGGCAGGCCCCTCGCCCACAGTGCGATCGCCTGCATTAGTGACTGTGTTACAGTCCAGTGCGATCCGCAAAAATGCTGCGAGCACTATTTTTGCAGATCGCACTGGACCGGAATGCAGGCACTAATGTGCCTGCGTTTCGAGTGCGGGCGATCGCAATGTGGGCAATGCCATTGACTCCAATACAGCTCCACACCCCTTCCCGCACCTGAACGCCGGGAGTCGGTCTGCTTACATTCCAGTGCGCCCTACATGTCCCGGCGTCCTGTCCTCCTGTGGTGCTCATGTGGCCGACATTGCACATGGGGTGTCCTGCACCTTTCCATCTGCAGCATCTGACACATTCAGCCGGCAGCCGCACGAGCGCATAGCCAGCTCCTTTTGCGCCTGAGGCAAGAAAAAAAATGATTTTTTTTATTTTCGTTTTTTTTTTTTTTTTTTTTTTTAATCTTGGGGGGCTTTGGGGAAATATTAGGGGTCTAAAAAGCCCCTTATCTCCCTTTTAAAAAAGAAATTGAGGACACATAGTCCTCAATCTTTTTATCTGCAGCCTCTATTCTAAATGAATGGAAAGCACTGATTCATTCAGAAAATATTTTACTATCAAGCAGTTTCTGAATGGGGAGGAGCCTCTGTACAGAGTGCTTCTCCCCATTGAGAAACTCATGAATGAATGGGACTTGATGTAAATCACATCCTGTTCATTCAGTTATAACTGGGGACACATAGTACTGTGTCCCCAGTTCTTTACAAACACTGAAGTGATCAGCCGATCGCTCCAGTGTTTGTCCTGCACAGAGGATTGGTACATACTAGTGACATGTACCGATCCTCTGCCGCTCGTCCACGCACAAATGGGCTCAGCTTCTCCTCTGAATCCCCCTGCTCTCCCGGGCAGAGGCAGCGGGGGATCCGACGAGAAGTGAAAGAGCACTTCAGCCGCGGGGGAGGGTGACAGAACGGACGAGCATTGAGGGGAGAGAGAGGCGCCGGCTGTCAGATCCTGGCCGAGCGTCTCTCTGTTCACCGCTCTTTAGTTCTGTGACAGCGGCTCTGTACTTGCCCTCCCCCGGTTCCTTCACTTCTCTGGTCCCCGCTGGGGAGAGCAGTGGGGATCCAGAGAAGCGGCGGAAGGAGAGGACATGGCGATCTACCAGTGATCGCTACACGATCGACTGGTAGATCGCGATCGACCTTGTGGGCACCCCTGCCCTAGGGGTTCCATGAGTGATTGGCATGACCTGTTAGTTTGATCTCCCACCCAAAATTGTCTTTTATATTTCTGGTGGATTTATTTAATGATTGATACTAAATTTTGTTAAACTTGGGGTTATAAGTGTGTTTTATATAATTAGCCCCCTTTTTGAATATTGGAACTACCATAGCCCTCCGCCAATCACATGGTACCCTACCAATTAGTTGTGGCCACTTGTAAGCATGAGTCTGTGACCTGCTGTGGCTGAAATTGTAGCCTTGGTATATTATTGACTCATGTCTACAGCCACCATATTTTCCTAGCTAAGCATAACTCCCCCAGTAAAGCCATTTTCCTCTTGCTGATGGTGGAAAAAACTTTGTTAAAAAAAAAAAGCTAGGAAACAAAGTTTTTATCATAACA